GGGACTCCAGGATCATGACCTGAGCCGAAGGCAGTCGCTTAACCGACTGAGCCACCCAGGCGCCCCATCACGGATGAGATTTTGAAATGCCATGAAGCACCTGAGTGAGCAAAGGCCGGCGCTGGGAAGTGTTTCCTGTTCTCAAAGGCCATTTCCCATCCCAAAGCTCTTGTCATAGCACCGCCTTCGGGAAAGCCTTTGACAGCCAGGCTACCAGAAGACAGCCTTCATGAGGCGGTCCCAAAGAAGCTTCCAAGGGCTGGAGGAACATTCTTCACTCCTGAACAGGGCACCATCCTGGAATCATTTGGAATCTCTGGAGATGTATGGGAGCAAGGGTTCAGGAAGCCCGCTAGGAAAACAGCAAGCTGAGCCTGATTCTTTCACGGACGAGGATTTTGGATTTTTTTTTTTTTTAAATGATAAATTAGGAAAGAAAGGACAATAAAGTCATACTTCCATCTGATACGGTAGAACCCTCCCGAGTACAACTGAAAACATGCTAACCCTTTCCCGGGAAGATGGGGATGCTTGTTCACTCTTTTCCTTCGATGTCCTGTAATTTAAATACGGTACAGTGCTCCCTTTGGCAGCGCATGTACTAAAATGGGGCCAATATGGAGAAGAGTAGCATAGTCCCTGCGCAAGGACAATACGCACATTCCTAAAGCGTTCCATATTAAAAAAATAGTAAGTATTGTGTTAGGTGATGGGGGATAAAAGGAAGAAAACACAAATATTTGGTGTACACCTATATATAAGGAAGAACCGGTCATTGCCAGTACGCTCCTCCTTTGTGCAACTGGTCACGTGGTTGTGGCCGCCTTCAGCCTCTACCCAATCCACATTTCCTGGGTCCTCAGCAAGCACCTCACCTGCTCATGGTTCTTTGCCTGGTGGCCCAGAACCTTCCAGGCCGGTAGCGGTTCTACCCGATTTGGGTTTAGGTAGTTTTTCGTCGGCTTTAATGGCACCCGTAGGGGGTTCTCCTGAATTCCTCATCTACCAAAAGGGAAAAGGGGCGGGGCAGAGCTTTAGAGCCCAGGACTGGTGGAAGTATGTCTCTGATCGTCTGGCGCCCCCCGCAGGCTGCGGACTGAACTACCACAAGCGCTGTGCCTTCAGCATCCCCAACAACTGCAGTGGTGCCCGCAAGAGGCGCCTGTCGTCCACGTCTCTGGCCAGTGGCCATTCTGTGCGCCTCAGCACCTCCGAGTCCCTGCCCTGCATGGCTGATGAGCTGGTGAGGGGCTGGGGAGCGGGCTGGCTGGTGGCGGGGGGAAGGGGGGCGGGCGACAGGGCCCGGGCATGGGGCCGCGCACTAATGTGTCCCCTCCATCCTTGCTGACCGCAGAGCCGTAGTACCACCGAGCTCCTGCCTCGCCGGCCCCCGTCATCCTCCTCCTCATCTTCGGCCTCCTCCTACACGGGCCGCCCGATCGAGCTGGACAAGATGCTGCTCTCCAAGGTGAAGGTCCCGCACACGTTCCTCATCCACAGCTACACGCGGCCCACCGTCTGCCAGGCTTGCAAGAAACTCCTCAAGGGTCTCTTTCGCCAGGGCCTGCAGTGCAAAGGTCAGCGGGGCCCCCAGGGGGGGACAGACGGGGCCAGAGGGCCCCGACATAGACACACACTCGTTCAGCGGCTTGGGACCTCTCTCACCTGGGCTCGTGGCAGGACCTAAGACTCCCAGTACTCTGGGGGCACCTGGCTGGCTCCCTCGGTGGGGACTGCGACTCTAGATCTCGGGGTTTTGAGTTCGAGTCCCATGTTGGGTGTGGAGATGACTTAAAAATAAAGTCTTAAAAAAAGAAAGAAAGAAAGAATCCCAGTATTCTGATCCTTAGGAGCACAGGGCCTCAGGAGAAGAGTGCCCTGAATCCTGGTGTTCTAGAACCTTTGGAATTCTGGAATCCTAGAACCTTAGAAATTTAGATCTATAAGCCACTTAGCATGGGCTTCTAAAACTGTAGAACTTGAGAATTCTAGAACCATAGAACTGGAATCATAGGCTTCAAGAATTCTGGATCTCAGAATATCGAAACTTTAGAAACATCAAATGCAAACCTGAGAAGTCTAGAATCATAAACCCTTGGGACCATGGAATCCTAGAGTCCTAGACATCTAGAGTACAGAACTCTGGGTTATCAGATTCTAGAATACCGGATGTCTAGATCCATAAAAATTTAGAGTCATCCAATTCTAGAATCTAGGGTGTATGGAATCCTAGAACCTTGGAATCATTAGATTCTGGAGGCTTCACAGTCCAGAATTGTAGAACTATAGAATCACTGATGTCTAGAGTTTAGATATAGAAAACCCTAAAACCTTGGACATCAAGGAGCCTTAGCAGTCTAGAATCATAGAACTGTAGAATCATAGATGTGTCAAGTTCTAGACACTTGAACATTGAAATTTGGAGTCTTAGAACTCTAGAAAAAAAATCTATAATCATACGGGGATGTACTACTGGAATCTAGTGGGTAGAGGACAGGGATGGTTGCTAAACACCTATGATATGCACAGACCAGGCCCCCGCAACAAGGAATTCCCCAGCCCCAACTATTCTAGACTCAAAGACGGACAACCAGAGAAGGTTCAGGTAGGTTTCCTGCTCCAAATGGCAAGAGCAGAATCTTTTGGGTCTGGGGGTTAGGAGTCAAGGTTCAACCCTTACAGGTGACCTCTCTCTCCCCTCCCACCTGTCCACTTGTTCCCTGTCCTCATACCAGACTGCAAGTTTAACTGTCACAAGCGCTGTGCCACCCGCGTCCCTAACGACTGTTTAGGGGAAGCACTCATCAATGGAGGTGAGAGGCTGTGGGCCGAGCGAGAAGGGGGGGTGCGGGACTGGGCGGAGGCCCCTCTGATGCCCCCGTCCTCCTAGATGTGCCGATGGAAGAGGCCACCGATTTCAGCGAGGCTGACAAGAGCTCCCTCACGGATGAGTCCGACGACTCTGGGGTCATCCCGGGCTCCCACGCGGAAAATGCCCTCCACGCCAGTGAGGAGGAGGAAGGCGAGGGAGGCAAGGCCGAGAGGTACCCGGGGCACCCTCTGGGGAAGGCCCTATCTCTACAATGGGTCAATGTCCCCCTGTAAATTTCCCAGGCACCCACACTTTGTTTTTAAATTTTACCTTTTTCCTGAAAAATGTACATTTTTAGGAAGTTTTCATAGAAGCAGATTTTATTTTATTTTATTATTTTTTAATTTTTATTTATATTTGACAGAGAGAGACATAGCCAGAGAGGGAACACAAGCAGGAGGAGTGGGAGAGGGAGAAGCAGGTCCCCTGCAGAGCAGGGAGCCCGATGCGGGGCTCGATCCCAGGACCCCGGGATCATGACCTGAGCCGAAGGCAGATGCTTAACGACTGAGCCACCCAAGTGCCCCGTAGAAGCAGATTTTAATTTAGAGTATATTTCTTTTTCGGAACTGCTAATCCAGTCATTCAAAAGGTGGATAGTCAAACCCTCCTGCTTCCCTGCCTCCCAGCTGCTTAGCTCCTCTCTCCGAGGACGTCACTGGGATCAGCTGCTGGCAGGCCCTTCCAGAAACAGTCTGTGTTGCAAAGTGACAGAGCAAAGAGTAAAAACGTGGGAATCTGGAACCAGAGGCTATATGGCCTTTGGCAGATTAACCTCTCTGGGCCCTCAGTTTCTTCATCAGTAAGATGGGGCTAAAGTAGGACCTACCTTTGAGGATTGTTGTAAGGGCGAAGCGAATGAATACGAATGAAGTACCTAAAATAGCGCCTGGGTGTTAGCTCTTCTCGCAGAGCAGTCAAATCTTAGAAAGGAAGGAAAACTACCCACTTTCTTTTAGCCCTTTTGGCCTCAGATTGACTTGTATGGCCTAAACAAGTCCCTTCCTCTTGCGGTGCCTTAGTCTTCCCGTCTGTAAAATGGGGAAAGGGAAAACCATCCCCAAGGACCTGACGGGCAGTGGCTTTCTTCTGGCATGGAAGCTCTGAAAAATAATAACCTGCTTAATTTTACATTTTTAAATTATAAATGGGATTCATATTGATTCAGTTCTACTAGCATAAAAGCTCAAGTGCTTGATGGCAAGGATCCAGTGGGTAGAGGTCAGGTCAGGTCCATTCTCCAGGTGCCTAGGACAGGGCCTGGCTTCAGGCATGGGTGTGGAATGCCTGTGTGTCCAGGAGGCAAGAAGGCAGCGGGGTTTGGGAAGCCCAGGGCACTGGAGGCTGAGAGCACCAGGGCTAGGTCCCAGATCTGCCACTTACATGGTGAATCACGTCTCCCTGAGCCTCAGTTTCCTCCTAGGGCAATGACAGCACCTGTCTCATGGGGTGATTTTCGAATTCCATTAGATCATGCGGGTCAAGTGCTTGCTGGGTTGTAAATGATGGAGAGAGAATCCTCCCCGGTACTCTGTTCTTGAATCCCCCAAGTGCGGAGGGTGGGAGGTGATCCATTCCGGAGTAATGGGGACAAATATTTGCATTTCCATTTCTCTTTACTTTTAATCTCATCTTTTAGATGTTTTCACTTTTTTGCATATGTTTTAGAATAATATTAATATACTATTATTGGTATATTCTATTAATACAGTAATACATGTATAAATAAGGGTAACCTGTGGATTGAAACCATCATTGATGTATAAGTATTTGTTTTTGAACTAAATCCTCAGAAGGACCATAAGGATCACTATACGCATTCCTAGGTTAGAAGATTGAAGCTCAGGGGCTTCAGCCAGTAATTACTAAAAGAAAGGAGCTGAGACTTCACCCCACAGGGTTAGGGAGACGTAAACATGGGGAGGAGGGTGAGCCACTTCCACGGTCCATCAGTAGACACTTAATGAGCACCTGCTGGGTTCTAGGACTTCCAAGCACACAGCTGTGAACCAAACCAGGGAAACTCTCTGGCCTCATAGAGCAGACACTCTAGTTGGGGAGACAGGTAATAAATGCATGCATAGCATCAGGTATTGATGATTGCTATCAAAAAAATAAAAATAAAGCAATGAGAGGGGCCAGAAAATGAAGATATGCCATTTTAGTTAGGGTCATTAAAGGGAGCCTCTCCGAGGAGGTGACATTTGAAGAGATCTGAAGGAGGGGAGGAAAGGAGACATGTGGAAGATAGCTTGGTTCCCTACCAAGCAAAGGGAATCGCAGGTGCAAAGGCCCTGTGGTAGGGCCAAGCATGTTCCAGAAATAGCATTGAGCTTGGTGTGGCTGGAGCAGGGAGGGCAAGGGGAAGGGGATGGGAAACCAGGCCAAAGGGGAGATGGGTATGCCAGGTCTTTCCTGGAGTGTTTAGTAACAGAATAAGTGGGTGTCAGAGCTGGGTCTTGATTCACTTGGGTGGGGTGGGGGTGTTGGGAGAGGCAGCCTATTTCACAGATGAGGAAACCAAGTCTCAGAGAGGTGAAGGGAAATGCCAAGGCCAACCGAATCCTGTTTAGTGCAGGGATCAAGAGGTGGTTGGTTCTGGAGTTGAGCAAGTTTGTGAATCTCCCTCAGCCTTCATTTCCTCTCTGTGATAATAGCATGTGCACTGGAAAAGGGCAATGAGGCACAGAGAGGTTGAGTCGCTTGCCTTGTGTCCCACAGCCGCCTCCACAATCACTGGGCTCAGTACTGATGAGCACTTATCGGAGGCCCACTGGGTGCCAAGCATTGTGCTAAACGCCTAAGAAAGGTTTTCACTCCTCACAGCAACTCCTTTGGGTGGAGAAACCGAGGTACACAGAGGTTAGGTGATTTGCCAGGCAGCCTGACTTTGGAACCCAGCCTTGTAATGTGGCCTTCTCAAGAGTCCCCTTCCTCATTATGGGAAATGTGGAAACCACAGAAATGTGGCCCAAAAAAACCCCAACTCCTGGCTGCCCAGAGATGCGCCCTGCAGCCCCGATTGCTAATGGGTATTTTCCACTTGTAAACTCTCACCTCTTCCTCTCCCCCTCCCTCTCAGCTCCTTGGGGTACATCCCCCTAATGAGGGTGGTGCAGTCGGTGCGACACACGACGCGGAAATCTAGCACCACCCTGCGCGAGGGTTGGGTGGTTCATTACAGCAACAAGGACACGCTGGTGAGAGGGCGGGGTGGGGCGATGTGGGGCGGAGCTAGAGTTAGGGGAGGGGCAAACTCCGCTTGAGGAGGCGGGGCTGG